AGTTTTTATACTGGTTCACTCATTCTGCACTATGTCCAGTCTCCTTCAACTGAAGGGTTCCACTAATCACAACAGATTACAAGTATTCTTAACCACTTCTGGTTCGTCAACCTCACTTGTTGACGCAAGTATTCTTAAACCACTTCTGGTTTTCCAAGTGTTCTCAACCACTCCTGGTTCGTCAACTTTACTTGTTGACGCTAGTATTCTTAAACCACTTTTGGTTCTCGAAGTATTCTTTTGCTAGCCTCTTCAGGCTTTACAGACGATGAGTGTTTTGAGTGTGTTTGTAACTCTCACAGAGAGGATGGAATGGTTTCAACACTCAATAAGGTTTTCAACCTTAGTTTTACAAAGATGTGTTTAGAGTGTGTATGTGACTCTCACAGAGAGAATAAAATGTTTTCTACACTCACTAAGATAAATTATCTTAGTTTTACATAGATATTCAATTTTTGGACAAGAAGAGAGGTGAGATTGTTTTCGACGCTTCTTCTTGTTTATTGCATGTTGCTTCTCTCTTCTACTTCTTTTCTTCTCGGAACTTGCTCTTTATAGCCTTGTGATGGATCTGGCCATTATTTGAATTTGAATATGTCCGTTGAGGCGGAGCTTTCCGTTGGTGCAGATGAACGTTTGTTTATGGCTACTCATATCTTGTTCATTTAATGCGTTTGATTTTGCATTAAATGTTTTTCTTTCTCAATCTATATTGTGTGTGAAGTCTTTTGCATAAATTGTTCCCTTTTCTTTCTGACTTCAATCATGACCTAGGTATGTTTGTCCTTTTTCCGTCATTGTAGCTAAGGATGGGTTGCCTTTTTCTGAAAAGCAGTTGTACTTGTCCTGACACACATAGCTTTGACTTGCGGATTCGCCCTCTTGTATTTTTCTTCTTTCTTTTCATAACTTTGATAACTTCGTGCGCTTTTCTTATAAATAAAGATGATGTATGATCTTCCTCGTTGTGACTAGTAGACTCTAGAAGCTTTTCATTATGCATCGTTTGCGTTTGAAAGATTGAGTCTTCGTCTAAGAATTAGACTTTGACATTTTCATCTTGTCTGATCAGTCTTGAGGATGAATAACTTTTATTCCGTCTAGAATATTTCTTTGTCTTGTGTTATCCAGCGACTGATGATTGTCTTGTTGACTTAGATATATATACTTGATCCTTGAACTTCGTCTGATGTTTATTTGGTGCTTGAGCAAACTTTGTCTTGATCTTGCTTTGCTTTGTTTCTGATCTCATATATTGTGCTCTGGATTGTTCTTGGCGTATCTTCGTTTTGATATTCATTATCATCAGATACGCAAGGCATGATCTTTCTATTATTTGGCTTGTTTTGTTGGATCCTTGCTTTGCTCGACCCTGCTTCATGCTTTGGTTTTGCCTATTCTTATACATATTTGAAACACTACTACACAAATTAGTAATAACAATATGTATTATATTTTTCATATTCAAAACCTTGCTGGTAATTGCTTCGTCTGACTTAACAATTGAAGTTAGCAGAAAAACACATAGAAGGGGGGGTTGAATATGTGTGTATTAGTACGAAGAAGTTTTAGAAACGTTTTCACAAGAGTAATGCTCTTCGTCTAATGCACTTTCGAATGTCAGACGGTTACACAGAATTTGGTTAACATACTATCATTGCATTTGAAGAATTCATGGTCTACTGAGAAAAATGTTTTATAATGATAATTATTGAAGTTCTAACATTTTCCTTTTCAAGATAGTTTCATTTGAAGACAAGTAGAGGATAAGGCGTGTTTGTTAAAAAAAAATTTGCGTCTTCGTCTGAAAACGGTTTTAATGAAGAATAGATAGTAGACGAATATTTTTTGTGATTTGACAATTGAAAATAATCTGCGTTTGAAATATAGATAGAGTAGTGCAATCACTTTTATACTGGTTCGCTCATCTGAGCTACGTCTAGGCTCCTTCAACTTGAAAGGTTCCACTAGCTATGAAATGAAGTACACAAGTATTGTTGACCACTTCTGGCCCGTTGACTTCACTCATCAATGCTAGTATATTCTTCTCAGCTTCTTCAGGCTAGCAGTGAATATTATGAACCCCCCAGGTTAGAACCACTCCTAGTCCAAGTATTCTCGACCACTCTTGGCCCGTCGGCTTCACTCACCAACGCTAGTATTTTTAAACCACTTTTAGTTCAAGTATTATCAACCACTTCTGGCCCGCTAGCTTCACTCACCAATACTAGTATTCTTAAACCACTTCTAGTTCTCCAAGTATTCTCAACCACTCCTGGCCCGTCGGCTTCACTCACCAACGCTAGTATTTTCTTATCAGCCACTTCTATCTAGCAGTGAGTATTCTTTGACAAGCCCCTCTGGGCTTTACAAGTATTCTTCCCCTAGCCTCTTCAGGCTTTACAACTGATAAATGTAGAGTCAGATTTGAGTGTTTTGGGTTACTCTCACTAAGAGGATATATATATGATCTACACTCACTAAGGTTTTACTCTAAGATGTACACATTCAGAATTCCTTAGTTTACAGAGAGAATTACACTATGATACATTTGACTCTATTTACTTTGTCTTTGATCTTGTTCCTATATGGGCTGAATATAGCTTTTCTTCATGCTCGCACCAATTTTTGGACAGGAACAACCAACTTTTAAGGTTTGAAGTTGATGGAATCATGCCTAGGAAGGCAAGAGGTGACATATTGAAGGAGCCAAGAGGAGTTGGCTAGACATGAAGGTTTGGGCCAGTCAGGGCCCAATGGGCCTGGGAAGGCCCAAGTTGAACTTTTCATGGGCCATATTTTGTTATAGCTATTTTCATATGTTTTGTATACATCATGTTAGTATAGGTATCATATATTTTGGTCTTGTATTTTGGACCACATAGAGTAGCATTTTAGGTTTTAGGCTTGTTGGGCCTAGTTTTGGGCTTCATGGGCCTTTGGGCTTTTGGTACCCAATATTGGGCTCATTTTCATTCTTGTAATTTTTCCTTTCCATTGTATTTGTTTGACCATTGTATTTAGGTCATTAGATTAGGAATATACAAGAATTACTTAAATAGGTAAAATAGGTTAAACTAGGTTTAATTTGGAAGTCATTTAAGTTACATTTGAGTCACATGTTTAGCACCATGGGTGGCTGAACATGTGCCACTCAAATTAACCCTAAATAACTCTCAAATCAAACCTAAATGCATCTAGGCACCTAAATTTTCGGACTAGCACATGGGAGCCAAAATTTGAATTCAAATTTCAAGTTTGAATTCAAATTTTGGGCGCCACATGTAGCCTTGGATTTAGGCGCCCAAAGTTGCACACTTGGAACCCTACTTAAGTGATTCTTCCACTCTTTGTATTCACTTTTGAGAATAATGAAATTTGAGAGCTTATTCAGCCAAATTTCGTTCAAGAGTCACCATGAGAGAAAGCTTCACCTTAGGAACCCTTCTAGGATTTCCTCCTCTTTGAAGTGAGCTTTCCCTTGCACCTTAAGCTTGGATGCTTCCATCCAAGGCTTAAGCCTTCTTCCTATCCGAGAATCTCCTCCATCTAGTGTTCATCACGTTGGTTTCTATTTCCTTGAAGAAGATCCATGCATAAGGAGAGCTAAGGAGAAGAACATTCATCACTCCTCCTTACCATTTCTATCAGAAGTTGAGGCTTATATAGTCTTGTGATTTCTGCTCGTTGTAGTTTCTCGTTGAAGCAAATCTAGTCGTCCATGACTAGTTTGATCTTCGCATTTAATGCTCAGATTTTTTGCATTAAATGCGGCTTCCCGTTTATAGACAATGCGTGAAGTTTTCTCGCTTAGTTAGTAGTTGTATCTGATTATAGCAGAGTCCTAAGAAACTTCTGTTCTTTTATGACCCTATAATTGTGGAGCTTTTGCCTTGCCTGAAAAAGTGATGTACTTTTTCTGACATATGCATGTTTTAGGGTTTGAGCATGTTCTTCTTCTTTCTTTTTTTCTTCTAATAATTTAAATTACTTCGTGTGTTCTTCTGTGAGTGTAGATGATATTCAAATTCTCCTTTGAGGATTGATTTCTCAGATGATTGCGTGACATTCTTCGTCTGCGTCTGGTAGTCGCTATTTAGTTTAATACTTCGACCTTTGTTTGATCATCAGTGTTTTGACTTTTCCTTTTGTCTTGGTCAGCCTTGTATATGGTCAGACTTTCCATTTCTTTTGGAGTTTCTTCTTGGTCGTTTGACCATCTTCCGCTGAGTCTTTATGTGTTGCCTTAGATTGTGCTTGACATGGTTTTGTTCCTGATTTGACTTGTTGACCTTTCATTTTGTAGCATCTGATGCTTACGCCTCTTCATCATTTTACTTGTTCTTAGGTCTTTCTGAAACACTAACTCACTTGTTAGGGATAACAACATGTATTGTATTTGTCTCACTCAAAACCTTTTTGGGAATTTCTTCGTCTGACTTATCAACAATCTCCCCCTTTTTGATGATGACAAATATAATCTATCAACTCGTTTCAGATATAATATAGTTTCAAGCAGTTTATGCAATTCATACATTAGTTTGACATCTAAGTTTTCTAAATGATCAAGACAAGGGTAGTGTACTAAGGCTCTCCCCTTTAGTATGTACTCTCCCCCTTACTAGATTATTCCAATTTCTTTCTTAGTAAGGTTTTGATAGACTCATTCCTACTTCTCCCTTTTTGTAATCATCAAAAGGAACAAGGGTTTCCAAACATCAAATTTATTGTTCACCTATCAGTTCCATTCCTAGCCTATCTCTTAGCCAGATATATCTATCTTCTTGAAGAGGTTTGGTAAAAATGTCAGCTAGTTGTTCCTCTTTTTTAACATATACTAGATCGAAGGTTCCTTTTTGCACATGAACTCTAATGAAATGATGTTTAATCTCAATATGTTTAGTCCTAGAATGCAAAATAGGGTTTTTAGATATATTAATTGCAGTAGTGTTATCACAGAGTACAAGAATACTACTTTCATAAATGTCGTAGTCTTCCAGCTAATGTTTGATCCAAAGAAGCTGCGCAAGGCATTGTCCTGCAACAATGTACTCAGCTTCGCAAGTTGATAATGCAATCGTGCTTTGCCTTTTTCTAGTCCATGAAACTAAGCAGCGACCAAGAAAGTGACATCCTCCGTTAGTGCTTTTTCTCTTCCATTTGTCTCGTGCGTAATCTGCATCACAATATCCTGATAGAGAGAAATTCTGGCTTCTATAGAAGTTGATTCCTAGGTTAACTGTTCCTTTAAGATATCTTGGAATATGTTTAACAGCTTGTAAATGTACCTCCTTAGGTCTTACTTGAAATTTGGCACAGACGCAGACGCTAAACATGATGTCAGGTCTGGATGTCGTTAGGTACAAGAGTGAGCCTACCATTCCTTGGTACATGGTGCTATCTACGTCTGGTGAGTCTTCATCCAGACCCAAAGTTGTAGATGGATGCATTGAAGTCTTCATTGATTTTGCATCATCCATCTTATACTTCTTTAGTAGTTCTTTTGGGTATTTCGTCTGATGAATTTTGATTCCTTCGTCTGACTAGACCATTTGGAGTCCTAGAAAGAACTTCAGTTCTCCCATCATGCTCATCTCAAATTCATCATGCATAAGCTTAGAGAACTCTTGACAGAGATTATCATTAATAGCTCCAAATATTATGTCATCTACATAAATTTGAACTATTATGAAATCATCTTTTTGTTCTTTCCTAAACAGGGTGCTTTCAATTTTTCCTCTTATGAAATTATTGCTTGTTAGAAAATAGCTTATTTTTTCATACCACGCTCGTGGTGCTTGTTTAAGTCCATACAAAGCTTTGTTTAATTTGAAAACATAAGATGGAAGTAAATTGTTCCATTTAGAAATGCGCTTTTAACATCCATTTGATACAATTTCATGCCAGTACATGCAACAAAAGCAAGTAATATTCTAACAGCTTCTATTCTAGCAACATTAGCAAAGGTTTCAGTAAAGACTATACCTTCCTGTTGTGAGTATCCTTTTGCAACTAACCTTGCATTGTTTCTTACCACATTTCCGGATTCGTCTAGTTTGTTTTTGTATACCCATTTTGTGCCGATAATTGACCTATCTTTTGGTGCTTGCACAAGCTTCCAGACGTCATTCTTTTGGAACTAGGTGAGTTCCTCTTGCATACCTTGGACTCAGGTTTCTTCTGATAAGGCTTTGTTAGTGGTTTTTGGTTCAATTTGAGATAATAGTGCAATTTGTGCTTGGGTTTTGAATGAACTTCTCGTTCTTACTGCATCTTTTTTTTTGCCAATGATCTGTTCTTGAGGATGATGTGCCTTCATCTGCCAGTTTCAATTTACAAGCTGTCTTTCCTCTTTATCGTCTTCAGTTTCTCCAGACTCATCTTCTTTCGACTGATTTTTATTTACCTGCATATTTTCAAAGAAGGTTCCTAGCTTTGATATTTCTTTATCAGGCTTGTTTTCGTCAAACTTAACGTGAATGGCTTCTTCAACAATTTTAGTTCTGTTGTTGAAGACTCCGTGGGCTCTTGACCTTTCAGAGTATCCAAGTAGAAAACCCTTATCGGTTTTTGAGTCAAATTTGCCTAGATTATCTTTAGTGTTTAAGATGAAACATTTGCAACTGTAGACCCCTAAAATTGTCCGGGTCGGAAA